TTGACTCCAACAAATAGACTACGGTGAAGTGGCTAAAATCATCGTTGAACGTTACATAATATCGCTTTCCGTTCCAGGTAGTCGGAGTGAATGGTCCGCACACATCCGAGTGGACCAATTCTAGCAGTCGGCTTGAACGTCGTTCCGTCGATTCTTCAAATGCTTGCCTAGTCTGCTTCCCAGCCAAACATATTTCGCAGATACAACTATTTGGCCAGTCTTGAATTTTCGAAGAAGTTTCAACCATCGCATTCTTACACAGACTCTTCAGATTACCTGCGCCAAGATGACCATACCTTCTATGCCACAAATCGAACCCATCGCTTTTGAACACCATCGCACTTGCGCATCCTGCCTCACTTCCGTCTCGGACAAAAATATCTAACGCATACAATTGACCCAATCGCCGACCAGTACAGACAATACGACCGTCCTTTTCTATAGTCACCTTTCCGCTGACGATCTTGACTGTCATATCATTATCTTCCAATCTCCGCACCGAAAACAGGTTGCATTGTAGCTCCGGCACGTATAATACCTCGTTTACCACGGCAGGTTGCTTCTTTCCATCGACCAGCATATCCACTCTTACGGTACCAGCGGTTTCAGCAACAATAACTTGGCCAGACTTCGCAACAGCTATGTGCATTTTACGCTTCAACGAATGTAATTCTTCGAACAACGATTTGTCTTTCAACATGTGATCAGTGGCGCCTGAGTCCAGGAACCACTCTATCTTCCGATTCTTCGACGAAGTCAGCAATGCACCACTGCCAGCGCTCGTAGTCGCAATGAAGGCCACCTCATTTTCGCTCGTGAGCGAATGTTATGCTTTCTGCCGTTGTCCAAATTTGCCTCCAGATTTCCAGTTCTTCTCTCGATCCTTTCTGTCGACTTGACGGTTCTCAGGACATTCAGCACGCTTGTGTCCAACACGACCGCAACCGTAACACTTGTAGCCAGCTTTTCTTCCAGCGAACGCAGATTCACCACTGCCGTTTTCTTCGTAATTCGTTGAACACTTACCGGACCGCTTCACTTGCTCATCCAACAAACGTTTCTTGACGTATTCGAGAGTTAATTGATCGGGCTGAATGGTTTCCAAGGCAGTAATCAGAGCTTCATAAGATTTCGGCAGGGCTAACAAAAGTTGACAGACGACGTCTTCTTCTTCAGTCTTCACTCCTGCAGCTTTCATCTCACGAAGTACCTTCTCGAACTGGAGCAAAAATGACTTGACGTTCTCTTCTTCCTTGAGCCGCAACTCTTGAAACTGCTTCCGTAAGAATAGTTTTCCAGCGATTCCGACCCTTTCAAAGGCGTTCTTGAGCGCATCCCAAGCTTCCTTCGCAGTTCTTTTATCCTTCACATATTCCAGCTGATCTTCGGCTATACGGTGAATTAACAGGTTCTTGCATTTTCTGTCCTTGGCCATCCGCTCGTCCAGTAGCTTCTTCTTCCGCTGCTTCTCTTCAGCAGTATCACCCGGAAGTTCCCTCGCGTACTCTTCGTCAGCAACAGCCTTCTCCAGACACTCCAGCAAGCCTTTGTCTTCCATCAATACTTCTATTCTGAACTTCCAGTTCCCGAAGTTTTCGCCGTTAAACAGCCAGAGTTTGTCGTCGCTCATCTTGAAGTCTTCTTCCGTACGAATCAAACGACCGTTACTTCACTATCGATTCCGGTTCCGCTCTGGGCCCATAACCTAATAAACTAGGCAGAGCAATTGGAAAAGAACTTCTTTATTGAACGAAGGTTTGTGAAGGAATGAATAAATTAGTGACACGAATCTTCATGGGTTGCTACATGCTTGTTGTTTGGACAGAGTTGATCGGTTGCTACTCAACATAACATAAACATCAAAAGTGCTTTTCACATCATCAAAACAACTAAACAACCTGTACTCAGCTAATAAACTGTGATAGCGCAATTTTGGAAGCATTTTTAAAGTCATCTAGGTTTATTTTTAGACTTGTGCAGTTTTACAGCTCTTACTCCACCCCTTTACAAAGCTGAACTAACTAGTCGGGAAAAAGGATTCATGTGTACTATTATAAAGCCTCTACTCAGATATTCGACTGGAGTGATGAATTGATAATTTTGTTTTGGCATTGCAGTCTTCAAGAAAAAGCACTGATTACAGTTTATCATCGCCATCGTTTCGATTCAGGAGTTGGGATCATCATCAGGGCTCGATATTAATCAGTTTGTGTGGTTTGTGTGACTGTCCTACAGATGGATGTCAGTTTAGACAGGGTTATCATGATCCTGATGGTCTTACCAAGTAGGTACTCGGCCTAATATGAATAACCGTTACTTAACAGATGTAAACGAATTGTATTGCTGTATGTATGTATTTGACTCAACATATCACAAACTTTTATGTGTAATAATAAATAATTTCATGTAATTTTCATAGTTTGCCAGCGGCACTGCCAGCCTTAACTACGTCTCTGGCTTTCCTGTAGTAGTTTTTTTTTAAATAAAGGGTACCCCACGTCGTCCGGACCAGTCGATTTTCCTCAAGCCTAAAGCCTCTACTCAGCAATCTTGTTGTAGAAAGTCATGTAGATTTGTTTACGTCAGTTGAAAGTGTCGGCGTAGCGAAGTTGGTGGTGTCAAGGTTTGAAAATGCAGTCGTCTTGAGTTCGAGTCCAGGTTTCCGGGGCAGGGTAATAATTTGGTGCTGTGCTTATAACTAATTTCGAGTAATTTGATTCGCAGCTCAATAAAATCAATAAATTCCTCCATTAAAAAAAACTATTTTTAACACGGCTTCAGGGTCAAGCTGTGTAGTGATTATTGGATAATCGGGAAAAGATCGAATAAGTGCCTTTCAAGTTTACGCACTACTTAATAGCAGAATAACAGCTGTATAGAAGCGAAAGTAGATATGCAAAAAGAGCTTCCCACAACCGTCCCAACAGCCATTAGTGGCTAAGTTCGCCAGATTTGCTTGTATAGAAATTGGGTAAAGGTTACCTCATATCGTATAGCATTTGAATACACCTTGAGGCTGTATAAATGAAATGAGCAAAGCATTTACGTTGTGGAAATTGATAGTTGGGTATGAAGCTGGGTATCGAATTCTCTCCGGAGAAAACTGGGGCCTTATTACGGGTGTCACTACACGGTAATAAGGAAGTGATACTCAGAATAAGAGCCGTCATTGCCGTACAAATCAAATGGGAAAATCTTAAGCCGTGACGACAAGTGACAAGTTTTCACCGAGAAGTGACATCAGTAATAAGCCCCCTGAGCTGGTTGTTTTGACATGTAACAAAATTATGAAAGATTTTGAACGTTAATAACTCAGCTGCCCCTGGACCAATTTCAATAATTTTATCACCAATCGATCAGAAATATTCCTACGCATCTGTTAAATTTTAGGACTTTAACCATTTTTTTTTCTTAATAGATATAAAAAAAAAAAATTATCATTGATTGCCTGCGAAAAGCGATTTCCCTAACACAGATTTCAAAGTTGAATTCCATCCGGTCTCACCAAACGGTGTTTATTCAATCACCGCGTGGTACACAACGAAAGGCTCCCCGCAAGCTGCTAGCGATCAAGGCTGACCTCAACCGCTGATCGGATTCAGTTCCAATTATCGTGTGTGGGGATATCCGGTCGTCGGCATCAGCAGCAACAGCAGTGCTTTCGGCACGTGGCGTTGAACATTGTTCTCCAGTACACAACGAAAAGCTGCCTGCAAGCACCGAGCTGCAGCCCACATGAGCAAGCATAGGAGGAAGAAGAAGCCGCACCGCTATAGATCAGAATCAATAGCTCTTCGTGGGTTTCTGTGGGCCATCTATGTCAAGCGCGTCATACTAAAGAGTATAAATAGAGATAACCCCGCTCAAATTCCTATTCCTACACAGAACACAAGCTCCTGCTGCAGTTAACAAATAAGATTTATTATATAAGACAACGTAGTCCTACGCCGGCATTGCGTACAACCCCATAGGGATGTCCCTTGAAGTTTTTTTTCTAGGAAGCATCATCCTGCACAGTTACAGCTTCCATTAGCTGAAAAAAAGAACAATCACTCAAAGATTAAAAAAAAAAAATCAGGTGTCTGGTTCGATTCCATGCACATGGGGAAAACATATTGCGTATCTGAAACAAAAATACCAGCAAAGGATTAATTTTATTCGTATTATTACCGGAACTTGCACACTAAGATTTTGTTTCCGTGTTCGGTAAATTTTACCGAAATCAGAACAGCTGAACGTTCGGTAAAACTTTTAACTTGGCTATTTAATTTGAAAATAATTTCAAAATATGTTCAACCTTGTTTAAATGATCAAATCTTTTTATTTTAGTGGAGATTTTGTTTCAAAATAGCTGAGAAGCAATTGAATTGAATTGCATAAATATTACCTAAAAGTTCAGCTGTTCAGATTTCGGTAAAAATTACCGAAGTCGGCGATAATTTCTAAGTTTTTTGGTGGGAAGCCCACTCGGAAGATCTGATCAGGTTGTACCGAACAACCATCCTTTCGGTTTTAAAGTCCGCAGCAAAACACACACACAAGCTGCAACGGATCCCATACCAACATCAACAGGTTCAATGTAACCCTAATGATGGATAGGAAAAAGCACACCATCACATAAAATAAACCACTTAACGAGTGGAAAATATACATGTGAATTTCACATTACTTTCACTTAAATATCATTATCACAACTTTTAAATCTATATCATTACTCACATAGAATTTATAATGTTGATATTCAAATAAAAATCATTAATTTTGTTCATGGAAAAATATTATGTGCGTTCCTAATAGAAACTATATGAAACTTTTTTCAGTGTAGTATTTAACCTGTTGAATTAGATAAACAAATAAATTGATAATTTTATTGGCTGACCCATCTTGACCTACCTCACCGTACCTAAAAAAAGAGAGGGACTTCAAGATAATAATTTCTTGCTTCGCATTTGAATCAGGAGTGCAAACAAAAGGCTAGAATTAGAGTGTAGCGATTTTTCATCTGTGTACTCGCATAGAACTGTACTTTATTATTAATTGAATTATTTCTAACAAAACTGAACAACTACTACTACTTCTTCTAATCCATTCCGGGTGGAGCTGGCTCCGGACGTTCAACGTCCTTTTCCTGCTTGATCATCACTGGCATATGCGTTGTCGTTGGCACTTCTTCATTGAAATTGCCCTGAAGAAAAAAAAGTATAGAAATGTTCATCATAATGCACCCATTACTAAATATACGCAAAACTTACAACAATCTGAACGTCCGTGCCCTCAGATGGTGTGTGAGGTGAAATTCCCAGCAGCACATCCATTCGGTCCTGCGATACGTGACCAATTTGGTGTTCCATAATTTCCCGGGCATGCTCCAGCATCGGCTCTCGGAATTCTGGACAAATGTTCAACGCATCTTGCAGCTGAGCTGCCGGAAGCTGAATCAGAATTCCCAAACTCTGTGGGGTCAGCCGCTGGGCGCACTTGAGGAATCCATCCCAAACCACCTTCTGTTTCCAGACGTGCTTCGATATGAGGCGTTGAAGTAGATTGGTCACAAAACCAGCCAATCGCGGATGAAGCGTCAGAGATTGAATGACCGTACGCATGAGCAGTGTCGGCAGTGGTGTGATTTCCACCAACTGTAGAATCACACTGCCGAGAATATCATGGGTGTAGGTTTCCTTCTCCGCCAGACAGAGAGAAGTGGCCTTGACGACCCATTTCAGCTCAACCTTGCTGGTGTCGACGGTGTGCAATGCTACCAGCAGTTCGGCTGGCGTAATAGGGAGATTGGAGCTACTGTACTCAGCACCGACGCCGAGTAATCGATTGAACACTTCCTTTACCACGACCGGGTTCAGTTTGATCAGCTTTGGCAGAGCGGCGAGAATTTCCTTCTTCGTAAGTCCATTGATGACGGGGATCAGCAGACGGACGTCGGACACTTTGGTCTGATGTAGATTGCGGACTCGATTAACGAGTTCCTGTGTAGGAATGGCTGAAAGAACAACAAAATTAGTTCGAAACATGCAACCCAAGCGAAATTTCTTTAACTTACTCTTCTCTGTCAAAATATAAATGATCCTAGTAATGATGGTTTCCGATCCCTTGGGACAGTGCTCGATAAGTTTGAGCAACTCTTCGCTCTCGGCTCCAATCTTCCGAACCGGAGCCTCGATGGCTCTCAACATCGCGCGCTTCATGTCCGAAGTGGCTTTCGTGTAAACGTCCGACAATTTATGAATCATTTCCTGGTTGTAAACCAGAATTTCCAAAAACAGTCCGAGGCAAGTTTTAGCTAAATCATCGCTCCACTTCCTAGATTGCTCCGCCCGACCCAACTCAACGGCAAAGATCTCCTCTGCTGGATTTTCCTGTTCTAGGTAACCGAGCCACAGCAGTGCCCTTTCCTCCATTTCATCCGTTAGAATACGGTGAACCGAATAGATGTGCAGCAAATAGTGAATAGCTTTCTCACGGATGACACAATTCTCGTAGACGGCATATTTGAAAAGAATATCTAGATACACCTTTTCCTTCGGTGGTCGTCTGATGAGCAGGTCTTTCGTTATCTGCATACCGCAATCGGCCAGTTCCTCTAATTGACACATGTGACTCAACAAGCTAATGACATCGTCCGGAAGCAACGGAGCTTCCAAATAGATGCTCTTCAGCAACGAGTCTTTCTCGCGCAAATCGCGTCTCTCCATAATGTTGGTCAACAGATTCAACAACAGCTGAGTGTACGGAAAATCCGGTTTCATTTCCGATTTGATGTAGGTATGCCGAGTGAAACCCTGTAGCAAGCTGTATTCTTCAAATATCCACGAAAAGGCCAGATCCAACCGTTTTTTGACGTCTTCGAAAATGAATTCCAGAATCACATTCCGCACGGAAGGCATGAAACAGGAACCGAACACGGTTATTATCCGCTTGCGCTTGAATGCAGCCCCGCCGATGAGAGCTTGCTTTTCTGCCTTTAGGATCCTCCGCACGGCATCGTTCAGGAAGGTATGTCTTAACTCCCGCGAATGAGGCTTGGTAATGTCCTGCAGGCCGAAGGCTTTGACTCGCTGCTTCAGCTTCTGTTCACCTCCCTTGACCCGTTCCAGCGTTTCGCGAAGCTTTCGGGTGTTTTCTGCATTCTTCCGTTCCTCTTCGGGCAGCTTATCCAGATCGACATCATCATCGTCGGCGTCTTCGTCACCAGCAGGCTCCGCTTCCATGTCGCGACGACGGCCTGTCAAATATGAGAATTTACCCTATTAGTTGACGCTTCTGAATGATGGTGGAGTCTTGGGAGATTTATCGGTGGGAATTCTAAGGTACTTCTCGGAAAACAATTTGTAGAGATTGGTCAGGCAGTTTAGAAAAAAAATATAGCTATAGATCCTATCAAGTGTTTCGCGGCTTGCGGATCTACTATTATTTTTTAATAATTGGCCAAAATTTGATAAAATTGTGGATGGGGTACGAAAAATTGAAAACAACAGAAGATGAAAATTCAGTGCCAACATTTCAAAGGGGCGTAATTGCATTTGTAAACAATGGCTTTAGCCATCGATTTCTCGCGAATAAAAGCTCACTCATAAAAATTTATGACACTAACAAGTAGATGAATGTTTCCTCTACTAGCTAGCATTGTTAACTTGGAGGAGTGAGCATTTATTTTCGAGAAATCGACGTCTGAAGCCATTGTTTACAAAAGCAATTACGCCCCTTTGAAATGTTGACACTGAATTGCTGTTTCTTCAGTCCTTCTTTGACAACTGTAAAAGAAAAATTCTGGGCTAATTTTCTACGATAAGCTGGTATTTCAAAAATATTCAAAAAGCCACTTTCAGTTGGCGAACGTTTAGTGTACAGGATGTTTCGGAGAAACTGACACCGATTTCATATGTATGCAATTCTTTTCGTGTACAAAAATGTTGCTTGTATTGATAGTAGAATTAGCAATTTCAGTGTCAACATTTCAAAGGGACGTAATTGTATTTGTAAACAATGACTTTAGCCGTCGGTTTTTCGCCTAATCTAATTTAATCTAATCTAACACCAACACAGCCAGTTCTTGAAAGTATCCTGGAAAATGATGGATATACTCCATATTTTTTCTTGTCTATTTGATACATGTTTCACATCAAAGATGCGTCACACATATCAAAACGGCCAGGCCTACTGTGCAGCATTTAAGGGGCAAGATGATTCAGAAAACATCGGGCCTGTTTAAATCGAATATTTAAACACGATACTTCAGAATCCAATAAATGGATGAAACGTGGACATCTCGTACCGTACGTTCCGATTTTGATAATTATATTGGTGATAAGCTAGAAAGGTTAAGTGATGCTCCATTTTCTTCTAACGGTTGGGACATGAGCACTAACTCTTGTCCTAGCCTATTATGGCTTATGGCTATAGCGCCATTACTCGCTTTCTGAAAACAGAAGAGGGAAAGGAAAAGGAGAAGGACAAAGGGGACAAAGGGAAAAGGATTATGTAAACTCTATGAACATAACAAAATATTTTTGATTTGAAATATACAATATAGAAATGCATAACGGCGGAGGTCACTACCCGAGTCTTGTCACTATTATCAAGTCATAAAAAGTAACAAGCATTAAAATGTAATCCTTTGATTACTGGAAAATCCTGATTCCCTAGTTTGAAGTTGTCACGACTAGGGTTCGGTGGTAGATCTTATACCAGTAACGCACCACAAAAAGGTGATCTCCCAATGTTGCTGGTTTGAAAAGATAAAAATTTACAAAATGGAACGAGCTCACCAAGTTTAGCCAATTGAACCTGAATGCTACCTGTCCGGTTTATGGTAGTTGCGCGGAATATCTTCCGTCGATTTGAGATAAACAAATGATGTATGTAGTTGATTTTTGATCGTGGCCAATAGTCAGGTTCAACGCTGCGACTCAACGAATGATGGGACGCCTCGTGGAGGTTCTACTTGGCTTCGGAACAGCTTCTCAGCGGCAAATAATAGGGATTGAGGAACTAGAAATTGTCTCCTGGGCCCACTTTAGCCGTCGATTTCTCGTGAATTAAAACTTACTCATGAAGATTAATGACACAAGCAGGTAGATGAATGTTTCCTTTACCAGCTAGCATTGTTAATTTGGAGGGATGGACTTTTATTTGCGAGAAATCGATAGCTAAAGCCATTGTTTACAAAAGCAATTACGCCCCTTTGAAATGTTGGCACTGATTTCATTGGTATTCGATTACAAGCAGCCATGTAGGGGAAAGTGGGGCAATATGGCCAATGCATTGTGTGGTCATCCTCATTGTTCTTAATCAGCAGTTCTTTCGGTCGATGCGTCGTCGACTTTGGAAAGCAACCGTTTCGTGATGAGTGTGTGAAACCACTCATAGACGTCTTATCAGAATGGATTAGGAGTTGTGATAGGAATCTGGACTCTGGGGAATACGGGATGGCCCACCGGAAGATCCGGAACATCCGTAAAAGTGACCAAATTATGAAACTGATCCTAGAGCTCCGTATTTTTTGAAACCACTCATAGACATGTTATCAGACTGAATTCGGATTTGTGCCCAGAAAATTGACGCTGGGTACCGCAGGATGATCCACCGGAAGATCCGATACATCCGTAAAAGTTGCCAATTCACGAATCTGATCGCAGAGCTCTGTGTTTTTTTTCGAAACCAGTCATAAACGTATTCTCAGAATTTATTCGGAGTTGTGACTGAAATCTGAACACACGTAATGGTCCTCCGGAAGATCCGGAACATCCGTCAAAAGGTCTGTTCTTGAAAATGATCCTAGAGCTCCACGGATTTTTCGAAACCACTCATAAACGGTTTATCAGAATGAATTTGGAGTTGTGACCCGAATATGGACCCAGGGAACGACGTAATGGCCCATAGAAAGATCCAACACATCCGTAAATGTAGTCAATTTACGAAACTGATCCTAGTGCTCCACGTTTTTTTTTTTTTCGAAATCACTCATAGAATCCTTGTCAGAATGAATTCAGAGTTGTGACCGTCCACATGAAGATCCGGAACATCCGTGAAACTGGTAAGTCCATGAAACTGATCCTAGACCTCTACGGTTTTTTACGATGTCTTATGTCTTATTCAAAGGCACCTGTGTGCTTCAAATATCGTGAGGATATCATTTAGAAACAAGGGTAATTATTGAAGAAGAAAAAACATCCGTTCAATACATGACTTAAGCTCTAACAAGACACCACCAGGCGAAGTGATGAAGTAGACATTTCAAAAACAAAAGTTAATTTAGACATACAGATCATAAAAAGTACTTCAAACAAGTATAATGTTTTATGCGATGTATAAATAAAGTTTAATCAATTAAATCATAGTTTGCATTGAAAATACCCTATTCAAATTTTTCATTATTTTTGAGTGAATATGTACACTTTTTGGAGAGATGAGTACTCTCCCATAGAAACAGCAGTATTTTTTGGGTACCTTGGTTTTTGCGTAACACATCTGGGCAGTGCTGAGATTTGTCATTGTCATTAACATAGCAAATAAAAAAATCTGCACATGTTCGTCACTGACAGCATTGTCATTGACAATTGACATGTTTTGCCTTGACGATGAATATTAGCTCAAATGAGTGAGCAAAGTAGGATTTCGAATATCGCCGTGTATTGTCGAGATTTTGCAGCACTGCACCTGGGTACCTTTTTTTAGTGCCGATGTTAATGAGACGTATGTGAGTGTTTTCGAAAAAAAAAACTGCAGAGTTCTAGGATTAGTTTCATGAATTGATCACTTTTTCGGATGTTCCGGATCTTCCGAAGGACCATTACGTGGTGAAGTAGTGATGATGCCCAGGGGCTATTTTCGATCACTACTCCGAATTCATGTTGATAAGACTTCTATGAATAATTTCGAAAAAAAACCGCTGGGTTCTAGTATCAATTTCATTAAATAACACCTTTTTAAGGATGTTCCAAACCTTCCAGAGGTTCATTCCGGTCCATATTCCAATTACAACTTCGAATAAATTCTGATTAGACGTCTATGAGTGGTTTCGTAAAAACCGCGGAGTTCTAGGATCAGATTCATGAATTTACCACTTTAAAATTATGTTAAAAAAACAGCAGAGCTCTAGTATCAGTTTCATGTATTGACCATTTTTACGGATGTTCCGGATCTTTCGGAGTACTACCCTGTTGTCCCGTACGTTTTTATTCCGGTCACAACTCTGAATTCATTCTGATAAGACATCTTTAAGAGGTTTCGAAAAAAACACGGAGCTTTAGGCTCAGTTTGACATGAATTGACCACTTTTACCGATGTTCCGGATTCTTTTTATGGAGCATCCTGTATGCCTCAGAGTCCATATTCGGATCATAACTCCAAATTCATTATGATACGACATTTATGCGTGGTTTTGTAAAAACCACTTCGTTCTAGACACAGTTTCGTGAATTTACTACTTTTACGCATGTTTTGGATCTTTCATTGAACCATTACGTGGACCTCAGCGTCTATATTCTGGTCACAACTCCAAATTCATTCTGATTCTTATTCTGACGTTTACAAAAGGTTCGAGAAAACCGCGGAGTTCTAGGATCAATTTCATGAATTGACCACTTTACGGTTGTTCACACTTCGATCACAACTCCGAATTTAACCTGATAAGACACATCTTTAAGAGGTTTCGAAACAAACACGGAGCAAGGAACAGTTTCATGAATTGATTACTTTTACAGATGTCCCGAATCTTCCGGTGGAACATCCCGTAGTTCTCAGAGTCCATATTCCGGCACAACTTCGAATTCATTCGGATAAGAAATCAATAAGAGGTTTCGTGAAAACCGCGGAGTTTCAGGCACAGTTTTCTTATGTTTACTACTAGTACGTATGCTCCGGATCTTTCGGTGGGCCATTACGTGGACCCCAGCGTCCATATTCTGGTCACAACTCCAAATTCATTCTGATAAGACGTCAGTTTCATGAATTGACCACTTTCACGGATGTTCCGGATCTTTCGGAGTACCATTCTGTTGTCCCTTACTTACCTTACCTTACCAATCAGACTCAGGCCTTGTTGTCCTCTGCTGTCCGAAGAAGTCGTCTCCACTCTACTCGATCCATGGCCACACTTCGCCAGCCTCGTAGTCTACGAAGGGTCCGCAGGTCGCCTTCCACTTGGTCGATCCACCTTGTCCGCTGCGCGCCTCTTCTTCTTGTTCCTGTTGGGTCGCTTTCTAGACCTATTTTCAGTGGTGC